AAAAAATGAACAGTTTGTCATGAGGATCAAAAAGAAGGAACAAGTGAATATATGTATGTATGTCAATACAAATCTTCGGACTGTTGAAATGCTTTGGGGTAATCTCTCCAGGAATCGGCAACATTTATGGATTTCGAGCTGCTGGGCTCCGTAAAAGTGTTATTGCCAACGGAGATCGAAAATTCCTCGGCTAATTCTACAGACATTTCATGTGCTCCAATGTCTCTAGATGGTCCACAAGTTCTAGACATTGCATTCGCGTTTACTATTTCTGCATAGGGAAGAACTTTGACCGCGGTTGTAAACAGTAGCTCCCCTTGAGTCTAAATTGGCCTGTAATGAACACTAGTGTGTGTCGAAAAATACGGTATGGAGAGCAGTAGGCGAAAGCAGAGAAATTGTCGGAAATCCAGTGAATATACTTGTTTTTGTTTATTTAATGCTGTTTTTGGCCGTAGTTCGCCTTGTTTCACAAGAATACTGGGTAGTGAAAAAAACTTCCGCCGCGGACGGGACTCGAACCCGTATCTCTTGCTTACCGGGCAAGTGCGCTACAAGGCAACGCTACCGGGCATCACTTCATCCCAACTCAGCTCTTCATGGTGTACTTACCAACAGCTTGTCAACACTCACTGGTATAACGTGTTGAGCCGATTAGCCGATATCGGCAATGACCGCGAGGCTGAAAGCTTTAGCAATGAATTTCGACTTGTTTTTTGTTGGCTTTGGCTGCAAGTGCGTTTGCGAATGTTTCACAAGAATTCTGGGTTGGTTCAACACGTTATATTGCACCTATTGTGATCTCGCGTTTCATTCCTACATTACTTTTGATACTCGTTGTTGTGCAACAGCTGTAAAGAAAGAAACAAATGAATGAATAAATAAATACGTGTGAGTGCTGATAAGCTGTGGTAAGTACACCACGAATAGCTGAGCTGGGATGAAATGGTGCCGCACAGCGTTGCTTGCAGCGCACATGCCCCGGTAAGCAAGTGGTGCGGGTTTCGAGTCCCGTCTGGGGGGAAAGTTTTGTTTGCAGTATAACATTCTTGTGAAGCAATGAATAGTTTCGATATACGCACAGAAGTACACGACTTCACTTCTCAAAGTTGGTCCTGTATGCTAGATTGCTTTTTCACTATGGCACCATGCAGGTTAGAAGCCTCACACAGTTTTTTTTTCTCTAGAGGAAAAGACAAGTTCGGGCAGTATTGATAATAACAAACGCTGCAGAGTAAGATGTGATGGCAAGCGTCTAACGCTCGCCGGCCAGGTTTTTTTGAGAACGATATACATTCCCTCTGATACAAAAAGTCCACAATTTCGCCTCCTAGTCACCACATTTTTTGGTGCTTCATAGGTTCAGAAATAGGATGCTTACGATCTCAGTATGAGTGCCACAGACATATCAGCAAGAATCCCAGAGCAACAATTCAGATCGAATTTGCGGGGTAAATATAACGTCGATAGAATTTTGTGATACCGGTTTGGCTGCATATGGGATAGAAGCGTCAAAAAAACCGTAAATTACGACTTCCCCTGTTTCTCTTGAAATGAATAAAGAGTTGGACCGGACGAGCTGTCTCACTCTAGAAATTCGTATTCCTACTCCTTGGGAATTTTCCTAGCACTATCATCAGATTTCTCAGTGAGTACCCTCGTATCGAAATTCGGGCAATGTCATAATATTTCTGGTTTTTTCTACAGTATTTCTTCGGTTTCTGCACCGTTGTATGAATATAAGCTCCTCTGAGAAAATGAACAATTTCTTTGGGTCACTACATGTTGGTATAAAAGCAACAGTGCCAGTGGGATCCGCACCTTCGATACTAGTGGTGTGCAAATGTTGCGCTAGCCACATAAGAAGTGTCACCGTTAAAATAACATACCTTGGAAAACCGCTAGAAAAGACTTGAACGCCTTCGAAGAAAGCATTACCGACAATGTTTGGTAACGCCCACTTGTCAGCCGTGGAGATCGCGTGCTTGGCTGTGGGTCCTTGCGCGATTGCGTGTAAACTGTCCCGCGTTTCGAAATTAATGCTGCTTTTTGATTGGTTTTACTTGCTTAACTCATTTAATTATCGTATTTCTTTGTTTGTACTGATGCATATGTCTCTGTTTGTATTGGTGCATATGCGATTGCAGCCGCATTTCTTGCTGGCACGAGCCAGCAATAAATGCCGGCGGAGCAAGCTAGTTCAGACAGCTCGTCCGGTCCAACTCTTTATTCATTTCAAGAGAAACAGGGGAAGTCGTAATTTACGGTTTTTTTGACGCTTCTATCCCATATGCAGCCAAACCGGTATCCACAAATTCTTATCGACCGTTTTTACCCCGCAAATTCGATCTGGAATTGTTGCTCTGGGATTCTTGCTGATATGTCTGTGGCACTCATACTGAGATCGTAAGCATCCTATTTCTGAACCTATGAAGCACCAAAAAATGTGGTGACTAGGAGGCGAAATTGTGGACTTTTTGTATCAGAGGGAATGTATATCGTTCTCAAAAAACGGCGGCGAGCGTTAGACGGCTTGCCATCACATCTTACTCTGCAGCGTTTGTTATTATCAATACTGCCCGAACTTGTCTTTTCCTCTAGAGAAAAAAAACTGTGTGAGGCTTCTAACCTGCATGGTGCCATAGTGAAAAGCAATCTAGCAAGGATCAACTTTGAGAAGTGAAGTCGTGCACTTCTGTCGTATATCGAAACTATTCATTGCTTCACAAGAATGCTATCTGTGAACAAAACTTTCGCCCCAGACGGGACTCGAACCCGCACCTCTCGCTTTCCGGGCAAGTGCGCTACCAGTTACGCTACCGGGGCACCATTTCATCCCAACTCAGCTTTCATGGTGTACTTACCACAGCTTATCAGCACTCACACGTATTTATTTATTTATTCATTTGTTTATTTCTTTACAGCTGTTGCACAACAACGAGTATCAAAAATAATGTAGGAATGAAACGCGAGATCACAATAGGTGCAATATAACGTGTTGAACCAACCCAGAATTCTTGTGAAACATTCGCAACGCGAACTGCGGCGTTAGCAAACAAAAACAAGTCAAAATTCATTGCTAAAGCTTTCAGCCTCGCGGTCATTGCCGATATCGGCTAACCGGCTCAACACGTTATACGTGTGAGTGCTGAAAGCTATGGTACGTATACCATGAAAAGCTGAGTTGGGATGAAATGGTGCCCCGGTAGCGTAACTGGTAGCGCACTTGCCCGGAAAGCGAGAGGTGCGGGTTCTAGTCCCGCCTGGGGCGAAAGTTTTGTTCACAACCCAGCATTCTTGTGAAACAAGGCGAACTGCGGCCAAAAACAGCAGTTAACAAACAAAAACAAGTATATTCATTGGATTTCCGACAATTTCTCTGCTTTCGCCTACTGCTCTCCATACTGTATTTTTCGACACACACTAGTGTTCATACAGGCCAATTTAGACTCAAGGGGAGCTACTGTTTACAACCGCGGTCAAAATTCTTCCCTATGCAGTAATAGTAAACGCGAATACAATGTCTAGAACTTGTGGACCATCTAGAGACATTGGAGCACATAAAATGTCTGTAGAATTAGCGAAGAATTTTTCGATCTCGTTGGCAATAACACTTTTACTGAGCCCAGCAGCTCGAAATCCATAAATGTTGCCGATTCCTGGAGAGATTACCCCAAAGCATTTCAACAGTCCGAAAATTTGTATTGACATACATACATATAT